GCTTTGAGCTTGGTCAGTTACCCTCAACTTGGTTTAGCCCATCTGCCAAGATTATTTTACTAGGTGTGGCTACTGTGCATGCTATATCTTCTTGGAGCCACAGGTGAGAGTTGAGTGCCAAGTAAACACCAAAGGTAGATGAATAGCTCTGAAAACGGCTCACTAAGCCCTCACCCCAGAGGTGCTAGTTGTCCCTGAACAATCCCTATGACCTTAAGTGAAGGAAAGGGCTATATAAATACTAGCTATAATTATATGGACAACAAAGAGAAACCACATGGTACAAGGGAAGTTACACCCAGTCCGGTTTCTTGAGCTCTTCAATTATCATAGTCCCTTTAAGGGAATTTCTTGGAAATGGGGAAATTTAACTCAATAAACATTTACTAAATGTCTATGGTGCACAACACACTACATTGTATGCTAAGGACACAATGAAAAATGACACCATCCCTGTCCTCAAGGAGCTTCCAGTCTAATGGGAGGTTATAACTTTTTTCCTGAATAAGCAGACAAAAGGTAAAATGTGATGGGACAAAGGAAAGATCCAGATGATTGTTTGAAGAAAATTTGAGGATGTCACCTTCAGGTGAGGGGAGCAGAGAACTTTTGAGAGGAGGCAGATACATGAACTAGGTCTAGAAAGACCATAGGCTCACAGAAAGACCACCCTCAAGCTAGAGCTGGAAGGGGCCTCACAAGGTATCTAGTCCAACCCGTTCATCTCACAGTCGATGAATCTGAGGCCCGAGAAGATGACGAGACTTGCCTGAAGTCATACAGGCAGTAAACACGGGAGGTAGCTTTTGAATGCAGGTTCTCTGACTCCAGAGACAGTAACCTTTCCACTGGACAAGCTGCTTTCCAACAGCTAAGAAACATTATTTTAGAGATATGAGGGACAGCTTGCACAAATAAATGCATAGGGGTGAGAGGGCACAAGGTGAGCTCCAGTAACAGCTAGTAGCCCAATTTGGCTGAAATGTGTAGCACGTGACGGGGCATACTGTGAAAGAAGGCTGAAAAGGTAGATTGGCACCAGAAAGTCTTAAGTGAAAGGCAAAGGAGTTTTTATATTATCCTTTCCAAGAGGGAGTCATAGCAGTTTTTTGAACAGGGCAATGATATGTGCTCATTGGAGAGATTTTTTTTTTTTTTTTTTTTTTTACAAATACATGAATATAAGACTAGAGAGGAAAGAACCTGGATGTAGGAAGACAAAACAGGAGGCTTATTCAATGGTCTAGGAGAAAGGAGATAGTCTAGGAAAAGGAGTCAACTTTTTTTAGGCTGCTCCCCACCCACTCTCAACACTAGTCAGGAGGGGACATTACTTCAGAATGTGAGTCTGGTGACTCCCAGACTCTTGCTTCTGCTAACTGAGAACCATAGGTAACTCTTGGGCTTTGTGACAAGAAAGAAAACCTTGGAGAAGGGAATAAATGACCAGATTGAAGTTGGGTGAATGAAGAGTGTCAAACTTCAAGCCAAAGGATATGAGTTCAAATCCCAGCTCTGCCACTTACAACCCCTGTGACTTTGGGTAAGTCACAATCTATCTGAATCTTTGTTTCTCACTTGTAAAATGAGGCAGTTGGATGGGATGACCTCTAAGGTCCCTTCTTATTTCATATCTATAATCCTGCAGTTCTTGAGCCAGTGGAATTAAGATGCAAGCTGGACTTTGAGGAAATGCTTTTATTATTCTCATTACTTCAAGAATTAGACACCATATTTCCTAAAGCTCAGGGAAAAGTTGATCCTCTCCTTTCCCTCCTCCTTCAAAAAAGGCATTTTTCAGTGAGGTAGACATTTAATAGCTGGCCAAGTCACTTACTCTCTGTTTGCCTCAGTTTCCCTATCTGTAAAATGGAAATAATAGCACTTTCCACCAGGGTTGTTGTGAGGATAAAATGAGATAGTATTTGTAAAACATATTACACATTTAAGTGTTATAAGACTGCTAGCTATTTTTCACTGTGGAAACTATAGGCAAAGCATCTATCCTCTCAGTTCCCCAGGCAATTCTAAGACTGAGTTGTTGATCTGTACAGGAGAAGGGAATTTTAACACTAGGAGTCTCCCATAGCCATGAACTTGCAAGTTAAGATTTTAAAAAAAGAGCAATAAAAAAATCTACTTTAAATGCCTACAAATCATGACCAGCCAAGATCCTTTTCAATTATCAAAGGTATTAAGGGGGCAGCTAGGTGGCACAGTGGATAGAACACCGGCCCTAGATTCAGGAGGACCTGAGTCAAATCCGGCCTCAGACACATAACACTTATTAGCCTTGTGACCCTGGGCAAGTCACTCGACCCCCATTGCCCCCCCAAAAAAATTATCAAAGGTATTAGAAACAGTTGTTAAATACTAACACTGTTATCTATACCAGTGAAGTGAGTTGAACAGCTAAGACAAAGTTTGATGGAAGTAGGGATAGGGACTGGAATGCTGATTTCATATGTATGGGGAACTCCCAAATGAAGAAACTCTGTCCATTGATGCAAGTTAGCACCTTTTCTGAAATGTATAGTCTTAGACAACTTCCCACACTTGTACACACATGCCTTTTAAGGAAGTGAGGGTCCACTGGTATGGAACATCAACTTTTGTTTAATGTGTTGTTTGGTTTTGGTGATTTTTTTTCCATCTTCTTCCTCTTTTTGATGAAAATTCTTGTTATAAGAGATGACTGCTTGGTAGGAGAGAAGGGAGAGATGGGGGGAACCTAGGTAATTAAAAATATATATATCAAAAATCTATATTTTAAAAAAATTTTCTAGTCTTAGAGAGTTGACTAGAATAATTCCCAGGACCACATAGGCAGTATGTCAGAGGTGAGACTTGCTTGCCTTTTTTAGGGAGAAAAAGAAAAGATTTTAGAATAAATTACTTATAGTGATTAAACCTACTGAATAACTTCTCAACAACAACAACAATAATAATAATGAAAATAATAGAGAGCATTTATATAGTACTTTAAGATTTGAAAAGTGCTTTATAAGGAAGAAAAGAAGCAAGCATTTATTAAGCACCTACTATGTGCCTGGCAATGTGCTAAGAGCTCACAAATATTATCGCAGTTGATCCTCACAACAACCCTGGGAAGCAAGTACTATTATTATCCCCATTTTACAGATTTAGGAAACTGAGACAGACAATGGTCAAGTGACTTGCCTGAAGTCACACAGCAAGTAAGTGTCTGAGGCTAGATTTGAACTCAGGTCTTCCTAACTCCAGGTTCCAGTGCTCTATTCACTGTGCCCCTAATATCTTTTGCCAAAGCATTCAGTGGAATTAACTGAGTATGCTTCCGCTCAGAGAGCAAAACCAGATTCACAACCTTTGAGTAATAATGAATGAATGTAGAAGCAAGGCGAGGGATGAAAGAAAGAGAGAGAGAGAGACATGTTTTATTCACCTGGCTATATTCAGAGTGTGGGAGCTTTATTTTGGCAGTAGTACCAGTATTTCTTGATAATGAACTGCATGACAGTATTAACACCACTTTGCTGATGTCTGGTAGGATGCAATTACAGCAGCAATATCTCCTGGTAATGTCTCCCAGTCCCTAGTCTCATTCCCCCAACATTTGGCTCGCTTGGCTGCTCCGGTGACTTATGTACTTCTACTGGAATCAGCAGCAGCACTTAATTGCCTTCTCCTCTTGGCTCTGAATCAGTGAATGCACCACCCTGCTGTACATTCCTTTTCCAGGTCACTGACCTACAAAGAAAAGAGAACAGGGTCTCCTGCCAACACGTTTCATTCCACTAGTCTCAGGACTCTATCTTAAACCGTTTTCAGTCCTCTCTGTCTGAATTTTTCATGCCTTCTTCCACAGTTCTGAGTCACTGAGGCAAATGGCAGAGGTATAGATTCTTCTGTCAGGGAGGTTGTTGCCATCTAGGCCTTGGGTTCTGCAGTATCGAAAGGCATTTTGCTCGAACAAAATTCAAGATGGCCAGAGTCGCAGCTGGGAGAGCAGCACAAACAGCCCCGAGTTTCCACTGCCAAGGACCTGTGACCTAGACCGTGGCTTTCACCTTTTCTTGGGAACAGCACCCCCAACTACAGGTGGGAGACCCTCAAGTAAAGAAGGTACCCAAACTTGTGTGCTGCTACTAATTCTTTCTGAACAATGCAGGTAGATATACCTGGCATGGTAGGGAAATTTCTGGGAATAGGCTAGCTCAGAAGCAACATGATGCAAGGCAGGGACTGGAAGCACTGAGAAGTCAGGTGGGTGCGGCCTCTTAACGCTGTGGCAAAGCCTGACTTCTTTCCATTTTAGTTCTAATACAAGCCAGGGTTAGAATAGCCACTATTACGCCCTGTAAGGCAACTATATGAGAAGCAGCTTGGCAAGATGGATAGAGAGCTGCCCTTGATGCAGGAAGACCCAGTTTCAAATGTCACTTCTGACATACCTAGAGCAAGTCACTTAATCTCTCCTTGCTCAAGGCAGCTCTCAAAGATTGTAAATTACAGAGAAGGTGCTAACCTTCTCTGGTAAAAGGAGTTTTCCCTCCTGGGAATTCCCTGTACCAACGACCATGAATCCATACCTCCCCCTAAAGCAGCTGCACATGAACTGCCAGAGGGGAAACATATTAGAAGGTACGTTGTTTTTTAAATTAGTCTTATTTCTCACATTTTTTAAAACGGTCAATAATTGGTCGGTCATTGGTGGGTGAACTCCAAACAGTTTAGACAGGTAAACGTGTGCACCCAGAGAGTCCCAGGGACAAAAGGCCCAGCACACACTACCGCTGTGCCACATCCATCTGAGTATATCAAATATTTGAGGCAATTAGACATGTTTTCAGTTCCCATGGCACAGGCTAATAAGGGATAGTTCTATGTTACTGGACTGCATCAAGTTTTTAGATTTCAAATAGCTCTGCAAAAATAAACCACATATGCCAGCAGATACTCTGAACTCTATCCAAGGCTTGAAGTCAGCAAACACTTAACAGACCCGCTACGTTTGTTGTTCACACCGAATAGCTTTTGACTGGCTTATAGAAAGGATGCAGCAGCCCATGAGACTCTCTGATGGTCTTCTGATGATGTGACGGTGGGCAGAGGAAGCAGTGACAGCATAGCCTCATACAGCATCTTTCAGGCTCCGAACCAGCTGAGCTCTTGTCAGACATTGGGGAAAAGTCGAAATCAGCCACCTAAGTGGATATAACAAAAAAAAAAATCCATATAAACCCCCCCCAACTCTCCCAGACAACTCTCCTCTCTCTCCTCTTCTACCCCCACATCCAGCAAACTGACGGTCAGGTTTTGCTGGATCAGTTATGTTCATTTGCGATTTAGCCAACCAGGAGACTATCTGGGAGATAAAGAACAAATGGATGGCTGACACTGGTTAGGAACAGAAAATGTAACCAACTGCCAATTACCCAGGGATGAATTAATTACACAGGCCTCATTCATAGACTCATGCATAGCATAAATGTTAGAGCTGGAAGGGACTTGAGAGGCCCATCCTTGTTCAGGCGCGTACTCTACAACATTCTTGACATGTTCTCATCCAGTTTCTGTTCAAATTCAACAAACATTCATTAAACATCTACTAGGGCCTGGGTATACAGAGGTAAACACAAAACAGACCCCATCTTTGGGGAGTTTACATTCTACTGAAATACCTCTAGTAATGAAGAACTTACTACCTCTGAAGCTGCAGTTCTTAACCTGAAGTCTGTGAACTTGTTTGTTTTTTAATATTTTGATAATTATTTTTCAATGTCATTGGTTTTCCTGGTAATCTGTGTATTTTATGTTATGCATTTATGAACATTAATGTGAGGAGGGGTCCATAGACTTCACCAAGCTGCCAAAGGGGTCCACACAAAATTTTAAGAACCCCAATCTAGAGGTAACTCATTCTATTTTTTAACACCTCTAATGACTAGAAAGTTTCTCATTACAGCAAGCCCAAATCCACCAATAAGTAACTTACATTAGTCCTCTAGGAAAAGGCACAATAATTCTAATCCCACTTCTAAGGGGAATCTTTCAAATATTTTTAGACTGCTTTCCTTCCCTTTTTCCCCCTGCTCTACATCTTCTCTTCTCCAGATTAAATATTCTCATTCCATTCAACTGATCCTTTAAGTCCCTTTATAATCATGGTTGCCTTCCTTTGGTTATGCTCCAATTGACTATTTATTGTTCTTACTAGAATGTGGAACCTATAAACGAACTCCAGAAACAGTTTGGCCGGGACAGAGTAAAACGATAGGACCTAAATCACCTCTGGGCATTTTCCTTTGTTCCTTCTAGTCTTCCTTTTTTTTTTTTTTTTTTTTTTTCCGTCCCTTAGCTTCTACATCAGACAAGAAAGGAAGAAGAAGGAAACTAAAAGAAATTACTTCGGTTGTTTTCCAATGGCTCTCACTAATGCTGGAATTGTCCAAAATGAGGACTTTGGCTATGGTTTTCATTTATTGAATGTACTTCCCTTCATCTTCCAGGAGAAATGAATAGTACTCCCACCTCATCCCCCAAAAAAGGTGTCTACGAATACAGGTAGAATCCTTCCTTTGACTAAAATTCTAAGATGGGAAGTTTTTTTCTGTGTTCCGTGATTACATTTGGTATAGAGCAGTGCTGTCAAATGCAAATAGAAATGTGGTCCACTAAACTGTATGTAAGGATCCCTGTGCGCTACATGTTGACTTAGAAAACTAAATGTGCTTATATATTTCTTTTTTTATTAATATATCAAAGCATTAATATCATGTAGGAACTCTAATTTAATCTGGTTCTAGCCATACTCAGGAGTGTTGTGGGCTATGTGTTTGATACCTCAGGTATAGAGAATTCTGGAGAAGTTCCTATCAAATGCAAGTTGGTATCTGTTCTACAACTTCTGGTCTTAGAGAGGTGCCTGGAGGACTAAGAAATTAAGTGAGTTGTCCAGGGTCACACAGTCAGTATGTGTCAGAGGTAGGACCTCATCTTTCTGTCTCTGAGACCAGGTCTCTATCCATACCATGCCATCTTTTTTTAAAATGGGAGTTAGAACTCTAAAAAAAGGATCTTTGAACTACATAGATGCTTCCAGGGACAGACCACATACTACACAATCAATAGTTGTTCTTCTCCTGTTTTCTCTTTCCCTACTTCAGCAGGTTATTGAAGTACGTAGATTCACATTAATCTGACTGGGGATGTTTTCCTAGGTATAGTAGGAAGCACAAAAAAAGTGACTGGGATGGATGAGTCAAAGACTTGACTTAGCATCAAGGTCTTTCTTGCTGATGTTGACTTGTTTCCATTGCCAGATTCTTAGCCTGTGTTTCTGATTCCTATCGCCTAGACTGTTTGCCTGGTTTTTGAACCTATAGCCTCTCCTAATATCATACATCCACCTAATCTCATCAGCTTTGTCTAGTGATCTGGACTCCAAACCTAGTGTTTGACTTGACTCCTGGTGTTAGCAAATGCCCTGACTTTGGCTAGCCAGTGTGGTTTTAAAGAGTCACGACTTTCTGACCTTCAGTGCTTGAATATACTTCAGACTGATACTTGATACTGGCTTCAGATACCCAGGGTTCTTCTTCAATCATCACCTTCTTGACCCTTCTCCAGAGCTAACTTACTCCTTTATATAGACACTACCCTGTGTTCCCTTCTTTTGATCCTCGCCTTTGTGTTTACAATCTGCTGCCACCTATAAAATTGGCATGAACAGACCTTGGTAAGTGCTTGGAAACGACACTACACTGCAAGTACAAACTTTGTCTTAAATTATTCCAAAACCCCAAGCAGTCACAGACCAAGATCATGACTACAGATGTAAAAACTAACTCCTCCTTTTTTTACATTGGCCTTGCTATCTGTCTCCCCTCTGCCACCCCCTCCAAGGAAACCCTGTAAATGTGGCTATGACGATCAGCCAATACCTCCACCAGGTCCTTCTGCTGGGTGCTATTCCGGTAGGTCACATACATAATGAAACTCAACATTCCCGAGATGAGTAAGACACAGGGCAAAACAAAGAGAGCTGGATGGATGCCTGGGAAAGATAACAGAACAAATTTGTTGAGGTTCAGGCATTAACTTCCAAACATAACTCTGAGGAGGAAGAAACAGTAAACTTACTTTTTTGGCTTGTTTATATGCTAGAATCGGATTAGTATCTTTATTTTCATGTACAGGCATAACCCTTATTTCATGTAACACCAATAAATGAACTTTGGGCTTAATAAAACATTACCTGGGGGGAGAGGTGATTATTCATTTCAGTATAAGATTCACAGTGGGATTCACAAGCTCATCTATTAAAAAGATATGACTCCACCCCCACTGCATGCAACACCAATAAATGAAAATCCAGTTTTAATAAAATATTATGGAGGGATGATTATTCACTTCAATAAAGAAGTCACAGTGGGATTCATAAGCTCATCTATTAACGAGATTTGATTTACAATAATTCTTCACACCAGAGACTTGAACCAAACCAAGAACAGGAATTAGCTAAACCAAACAAAATACACACACACACATCCATACACACTTTTCATAAAATGGTTAAATCAAATCTGTGTTTATTTTTATTTTATTTTGATACTGGGTCTTCTATTTCACCCAGGCTGGAAGTACAGTGGCCACTGCCAGGCCTGATCTAACTGCTAAATAGTCCCGAATCTTTAACCTCCATTTTTTCTGGTCTGGTAAAGCTTGTCCCTTCTTAAGCAGACTGGTGGCCCTCTGCTCTAGTGGGCTCACCATATTGGTGTCAAAGTAAATGCTGACATGTGATCTACTTAGCTTCCTGCAGTTTTGAACTCCTAAACTCAAGAAATCCAACAACCTCAGCCTCCCCATAGCAGAGATCATAGGCATGTGTTACCATGTCTAGGCTGTTTATTTCATTTTTATTGAGAAGAATGTTATAATACAGTTTGAATTAAAATAGAACCTATGTTTCCTATAACTACTGATCTAGAACAAAATCAAAGTATCACCATATTCTATGAAGCAAACCTGAACCAAACCAATATTTTATTTGGCTCAAATTCAAGAATTTCACCCGTTTTTTCAGGAATATAATTATTGTACTGTCTGGCAAGGTGAAGTATACTGGTATAATCATGCAAAGTAGATTCAGGTGTTTAAAGAACACATCTCAGTCTGCTTAAGTTACTTCTCCCTTGGGTACACCTTTGTATATAGCACAAGAAAGAAAATCCAGCCATCTGTGGTGGGAGCTTTATAATCCAAGGTCTACTTTAATCCAGTGAGTTATTCAGAATAGTTTAAAAGGCCCGAAGGAGATATCACTCAGAGCCCAGGGAATGAATGATCTGGACTAGGTTTCTAAACTATTAGAAGTTCACCAGACAAAAGTCTTACCTAACGTAAGATGCTAGTACATCATATAATAAAATGGCAATAAAAGGCAATTTGTTAAGGAAAGTATATGATTTTAAGTGGGCAGCTGGGTGGCTCCTAGATAGAGTGCTGAGCCTGGAGTCAGGAACACTCATCTTTGTGAGTTCAAATCTGCTTCAGAATTTGTCCTGAGGCATTATTTAAAGTTGTTCAGAGGATTTGGGGGAGAGCTCAGGAGAATCCCTGCCTTTTCTCTACCATCTTGGCTCTATTCTCCCCCAGCATCAAACACTTAGGACCCTATGTGACCCTGAGCAGGTCATTTTGCTCAGTTCCTCAAATGATCTGAAGAAGGAAATGACAAACTACTCCAGTATCTCTGCCAAGAAAACCCCAAATGGGGTCATAGAGAGTGGGACGTGACTAAAACATGACTTAACAACAACAACTGTAACAACAAATGATTTAAGGGTGTGCTAGAGCCAGCTCATACTAAAGAGCTGATTGTTAAATTTTCAATGGGAGCATCTACACCTCATAAATCAGCAAGTGTTACAAATAAAGACTTGATTTCTTGTTTTGTTGATTGTCTAAACTTAAGAAAGTGACAGAGAAAATATTAATAATGTAGATTAGATGTATAAGTGTGTCTAGCATTTTTTTTTATGAGCATCCCTCTAGAAATAGTTGACCTTGACTAGTCATGCCCAGAATATAGAGAAAACACTGGTTCATTAGCCCAACCTCACAGATCATAGGTGGTCTCAATCTGGGAAGGTACCCTGCAGGGAGAGGAGGGAGGGGACCACTTGATTTACAGTAGGTACTGATGCATAGGTAAGCAATGAGGCCCAGTTACAGGACTAAAGGATGTTTAGAGTTGGATAGGGTATGTAAATCATTTAGTCCATGATTTCCCAAATTAACTTGGTCATAGGACATTTTGGGTGTGGACAATATAATTAATATGAATAAGTATCAAACCAACAGTAAACTAATAATTAAGCTTAAAACTGCACGAAGACTTTTGTAGTGCTTTAAGGTTTACAAAGTACATTACATGTGCTTAAATCATTTAATCCTCATATGAACCCTGTGAAATAAGTGTTATTACTATCATCCATTTTACAAATGAAGAGTCTAAGGCCTAAAAGGAGGAACCCATAAAAGCAAGTCTGAGAGATGGGGAAGGACAGGAGTCACAAAACACCCTCCAGTAAAAGGGAATCAGGGAAATTCTGGAACCAAATAGAGGAAATTAAATCTACTTTCAGGCCACAATGTTGACAAAAAGAGCAATCGAAGTGTAATCAAAAAAGCATTGGACTTAAGTCAGAAGATCTAAATCTAAACCTTGGCTGAAGCTGAACCTCTGTGTGACCCTGGGCAAGTCACTTCCCCTCTAAGGACTTTAGACTCCTCCTGGGTAAAATGGCAATGGTTGGGGTTGGAAATGGGAGTCAAAGTGGGAGTGGGGTAGATGAGACAATACCTAAGATCTCTTATAGCAATTGATTCTGCTCCCAAGCATTTTTTATTTTGTTGTTGTTCAATCATTTTTCAGTCATGCCCTACTCTTTGCGGCTCCATTTGAGGTTTTCTTGTCAAAGATACTGGAGTGGTTTGCCATTTCCTTCTCCAACTCATTTTACAGACGAGAAAACTGAGGCAAACAGGATTCAGTGACTTGCCCAGGGTCACATAGCTAGTGTCTGAGGCCAGATTTGAACTTAGGAAAATGAGTTTTCCTGATAGCTACTGTGCTACCTAGTTGCCCTGTTTGGTAGGCTCTATTATTATTCCCAGTTTTATAGATAAGGAAATATTCAGGCAGAGAGTTCAGTGACTTATCTAGAATTCCTGTTAATAAATATCTGAGGCAGGATTGAACTCAGGTCTTCCTGACTCCAGGTCCAACACTCTATCCATTGCACACCTTGCCTGGAGAGCTAAGAGCTCTCAGAGGCAATATTGAAACCCAACTCTCCTTATTCCAAGCCCAGGGATTAGTTCCACGACACCACAGGCTGATGGGTTTAACTTCTATTGTCAGTGTGTGATCTTCCACTTTGACTCTCCCCACTGCAAGATCCTTCCCTAAGCCTGGCCACACAACCTGACTGCTTGGCCCTCCCTTTCAAATGGAAGGCCTCTCACATATCCTCTCCTCACAGGCTCTTTTCCCCATGCAGCAGCCAGAGGCAAAAAACAAAACAAACAAATCAAAAAAATTGTCCATCCCTCACTATACACTGCCAGGCCTCCCACTCCCTCTCTTTTACCCCTTTTATTTCCTCCCTTCTTCAGAGTCATGGGAGAAAACGCCTCACCTCTTCTTCTTCCTTTCAATTAATAATCTGCTGTAGCATTGACGTGCTTTCACAAAAGCCCTGCTTACATCTTCCAGAACTCCCAGGCTCCATGGAACAATTAAGGAAGCTAGGATTTAGTCAAAGGATAGTTTGGCAGAACAAGCACTGGATTGCAAATCACAGGAATTGATTCTCTGCCACTTACTAACTATATAACCTTTTGCTCACTTAATGTCTCTAAGCCTTGATTTCCTCTTCTGTAAAATGAGGGAGTCCAACTAGATGACCTCTAAGTGTCCTTCTAAATCTAAATCTATGGTCCTTGGATTTAGTCCAATCATTTTGCTTTACATACAACATAACTGAGTTAGAGAAAGATAAAGTGACTTGCCCAAACTGAGGTTTTTCTGCTATTCTTATTCAAAAGATTAGCCTTATAGGAAGAAGGAGATCACCATAGATTATCTATAATAGAAAATGAACCCTTTTCCTCAAAATTATCTCCACTCCCTCTTATAGTATGTGAAAATTATTCTTAAGCATAATTATTAGATTATACATTTAATTATCAATTCATTAATTAGTGTATAATGTAATTATGGTATTATAATTAAAGATGGGAGCAGCATAGTATAATGTAAAACCTCCTGGATTATTTACCATCTGTCTCTCTGTCTATCTCTCTGCCTATCTATAACAATAACAAAATCTCATTACTGGGTCCAGGCAGCTTGCCACTAATTAGGTATGTGACCTTGGACAAGTCACTTCTATAGGTCTTAGCAGGTTTCTTATTTGTAAAATAAGATGGTTAAACTAGGTGATCTCTAAAAGCTAAAAATTTTGCACATGATTTTTCAAATTGCTCTGGGACTTGAATACTTTTCACACTCCAAGAGTTCCTCATTAAACTGCAGCTGTATAGCACCAAACAACTGTTATCTGCCAACAGTTTAGCTGAGACTATTTGATGCTTAACTGAGAGTAAGTTTTCATGGGGAGAAAACCCCTAAAGGTGTCAGGTACACACACAAGGGAAATGAAGAAGAGACGGGTGGGCACCAAAGACAAATTTCATCTGCTTCTCTTTTTTGATGAAAGTCCAATCACTTACCAGTGGCCCACACTTTAATCAGGTGATATTGATGCAGATGGTTGATGCCATACTGGACTCTGATGCTGAGACAGTACCGTCCTGGGTCCTTGAAGGTGTGGTTCACGTTGTAAGAAGTGCTGTTTACCACCACCAGGTGGCACTCATTTCCTTCTAGTAGAACACAGTCTGGCTTGATGAGCCAGCATAAAGTCAGAGGAGAACTGAACACAAAATGAGAAGAAAAAAAAAGACATAAATGGCTTTTAAGAAATGACTTGAAATATAGAATCACATTGGGGAATGGCTGAACAACTTGTGGTATACGATTGTGTTGGAATACTACTGTGCTATAAGAAATGATGAGCTCAATGTTATCTTAGGAAAAACATGGAAAGACTTGCATGAAATAACAAAGAATGAAATGTACAGAACCAGGACATTGTATACAGTAATAGCAATATTATTTTAAGAATAACTTTGAGTGAATAAATCATTCTGCCTATCATAAATACCCAAATTAACTACAAAGGCATATGAAGAGATGTTATCTCCATCCAGAGACAGAACTGATAAATAGAAGTCTGCATAGAATAATTTGACATTTATGTACCTATTTGTGTCTAATAGTAGCCATCTCTAGGGTAGGGGCCGGGGGAGGAAAGAAAAAAAATTGCACGATCATTTTGTTGTAGATTTGCAGTTATATGTGCAATCACCTTTTTATTGTACTATGTTATGGACATACTTGTTTCATTCCATGAATTAAAAATAAACTTTAAAAATATAGAATCACAGCGACTTAGAATTGGAAGGGAACCTCAGATCAAAGATCATTCAGTGTAATGCATACCTGAACAGGAATCCCCTCTACAAGATAGCTGCCAAATGATCATCAGAGAATACTAGAGCTAGAAAGAAATTTATACATTACCTAGTCCAAGGTTTTGGGGTTTTTTTTGTTTGTTTGGTTTTGTTTGGTTTTTTGGGGTTTTTTTTGTTTGTTTGTTTTGTTTGTTTTTTGCTTTGTTTTTGTCATAGACTAGGGACCTGCTAGAGCCAGCTTGAATTATCTCTGGAAAAAAAAAGGTGGTTGTTAAATTTTCAACATAAACATTTACACCTTGAAAACTGGCAAATGCCAAATCAGGCTTTGATTTATTGTATTATTGGTTGTGTAGACTCAAGAAAGAGACAGAGAAAATGTTCATGCAGATTAAACTTAAAAGTATGTAATGGGTACAGTTTTTTCTCCCAGGCAAAAAAAAAAAAGGCATTTTAAACAGAAAACTGTTTAACATTTATCAACACACCCCTGCAGAAGTCTAGGAAAACCTATAGACCCTCCTCACAGAATAATATTTTTAAATGAGCAAAATAAAATCCTTAGGATTATAAAGGAGACCAATTATATTAGCTTCTTTTACATAAAGGAATTATATTGGTTCTCTTTATAGTTGGTTATAATTATATTTTATTTAATACAGTTACCAAAATATTTTTCAAAAAAAAACAAAAAAACAAAAAACAAGTCACAGACCTCACATTAAGAAATCCTGAGCTAGTCTAATCCTTTGATATTCTACAGTACAAACTGAAGTCCAGAGAAGGGTAATGATTTATCCAAGGTCACCTAGTGTGGCAAAATTAGGACTAGAATCCAAGTGTCTTATTAAACAGGCCAGTGCTTACACTAGCCTGACTCCTTTGTGCAGTCCCTTGAAATTGACTGTAAGGGGTGAGATTTGACCTGGCTGCCGCATACTGTCAATGACATCAAATTGGTAGCCCTCTCTGGGCTCTAAGAAAAATTGCAAAGTAGGGGAGGCTTGTCTTACGAGCACTCCTACATCCCTTACACAATCCTTTCCTTATTGCCAGGTACCAGGTACTTATTGCCTTCTGGGATATGTAACTTAACATTTCGCTTCTAGAAAGTTATCTCTTATCTACAAAATGCCTAGAGCATCAGAGACAAAAGGCCTAAATCTAAGGCCATGATGAGAAGAAAAAAAAAGTCCAGGGGAAACCTTAAATTTTCTTGCCACATTGCATCATTCTTGGAGATCTTGAAGTTAGTTGTCTTTCCAAAAACAAATTTCATATACATTTAACCACAAATGTTTATTTAACATCACTAGGTGCTGTGCATATAACGATGAAAATCCACCTTGTCCCTGCCCTCAAGAAGTTTATAATCTGATTAGGCACACAATTTTGTTTACATTTGCAAATGTGCATGTTAGAAAGTCCAATAATAACCTACTCCCTAGGGAAAAATAGTTGTGGGAACTGGCTAGCTGAGAGGTGTGTCCTGCAAATAACAGAAGTAAAATCAAAACTGGTTAAACAAGAATTTCCTTGCAAATTGAGACTCTTCAGGTTTGAAAAAAATCTAAGTTATATTCAGGTGACCCACCGAATTTTCACTAGTTCATCTCTCAGCACCCACAGTTGCAGCTTACTAACCCCATAGTGCTAAAGTCTCAAGCAATGTTCTGTACAGGAATGGGACACAATAAAAGAAGTTCTCCATGGTGCCTTCCATGCACACTCCAGTCCATAACTTATTTTGTCACAGAATTTCAGAGGGCCAGAATCTTCAGAAGACACTTAATCAACCTATTCCCCAAATAGGAATTCCCTCCAAAACATCTTTTCTGCAATGAGCAGTCAACCAGGTTGTATTTGACAACCTCCAACTTACTACCTAATGAGATATGCCATTCCATAGTCAAGACATTTTTCCATATATCAAGGTGAAATCTGCCTCTATAACTTCTCCTTGGTTTTGCTCTCTGGGGACAAATGAAGGAAGTATAACCTCTTAAGGAGAAGCTAGGTGATGCAGTGGATAGAATGCAGAGCCCAGAGTCAGGAATATTCATTTTCATGAATTCAAATATGTCCTCAGACATTTACTAGCTGTGTGACCTTGGACAAGTCATTTAACCCTGTTTGCCTCAGTTCTTCATCTACAAAATGAGCCGGAGAAGGAAATGGCAAACTACTCTAGTGTCTTTGCCAAGAAAACCCCAAATGGGGTTACGAAACATTGGACATGACTGAAATGACCAAACAACAACAAAATACTATCTTCCCTAAGTCATCTCTTCCCCAGGCTAAATATTTCTAGCTCCTTCAACTGATCCTCCAGATGGAATGGTTTTGATTTCCTCATAATTCTGGTAACTTCCTTTGGATTTGCCCCAGATTTCATTATCCTAAAAAATGGCACTCATAGCTAAATACAATACTCCAGGGCTTGGGATGAAACAATTCAAATGTTCTTTCTTTCTTTCTTTCTTTCTTTCTTTCTTTCTTTCTTTCTTTCTTTCTTTCTGTTTTAGGCAATTAGAGTTAAGTGACTTGCCCAGGGTCACACAGCTAGTGTCAAGTGTTTGGTCTGAAGCTGGATTTGAACTCAGGTCCTCCTGACTTCAGGGATGATGCTCTATCCACTGTGCCACCTAGCTGCCCTGTGTATGTTATTTCTTAAGGGAGTCAAAATACATTCATTGTTTCACATGTCTAGAGGTTGGTGGGAGAGAAGACTGAATTTGGAAGACTGAATTACAGACTAGTAATTACAATAGTAAGTTGACACAATCCAAGAAAGATAAGCAGTGTGCAACAGAGACCTTTACCAACATCCAGGTTCTTCTAAAAAGTGGCCTCATTCTCCTTTATAAGGGCATGGAGCATTGCTTACAAGGGTCCCTATCAGTTACAGAAAGCAGAAACAATAAGATCTTGAGAGGTCTAGAAGATAGAGGTGATCTAGGTTGTGTGAGATCCTGGGCAAGGTCCCTGAAGCCTGTTTGCCTCAATTTCTCTCATCTGTAAAATGAGCTGGAGAAGGAAATGGTGAGACCCACTTCTGGTACAATTCTAGACCAATTCCTAGTCCTTAAGAGATCATGCAGGATGACTGAATCATGAATTTAGATCTGAAAGTGACTTTAGAGGTCATCTAGTTCAGAGGTATCAAACCTGTGGTCTGAGGCCATGTGGAAAACCAGATTAAAATGTAATTGGGAAACATTTAACAAAATAAATAAAAATAAGACACAACATAGACAATGTGACTTTGTAATTTCCTAAGTCAATATGCAGCCAGCAGGAATCCATTTCTACATGAGTTTGACACCATTGATCTAATTTAACTCTTCCTTTTTCAGAAGAGGAAAATGAGACCTGAAGAGGCTGTGACTTGTACCATGGGGTATGACAAGTAGTAAGGAGAAGAACCAAGATTTGAACACAGGTCCTTTGATTCTACATTCAGTATTCTCTTTGTTGTACTACATTGGAAGATAGATGAAGGAATTTGGCATTTGTTAGGCATCTATTAAGTTCCTTCTATATATTTGGCATTATACCAAATTTTAAGGGTTGTCACATGGAAAATAGACTTGTCCTTTTTGGTCTCAGGTATAGAATTAGAAACGATGGGTAGAAGTGACATAGAGGCAAATTTAGATTTGATAGTCAGGAAAGACTTCCTAAAAACTTGAGTGGAATGAACTATCATGGGTAGTAATGGGTTTCCTCCTAGTTGGTGGTGTGCTAGTAAATGTTTAACAACATGCTCTCCAAAAACAAACATACAAGTATGCACAATACACCTTTATGTTTAATCTGCCTTATCAAAATTTTCTCCATCACTTTCCTTCATTTAGACAATCAACAAAACAATAAATCAAGTCCTCATTTGCTTGTTTGCTGATTTCCAAAGTGTAAATGCTCACACTGAAAATTTAACAATTGGCTCTCTTGGTCTGAGTCAGCTCCAGTATACTCCTGCCTTCTTTAGAGGTCTTCAGGCTGATGCTGTATGATCACTTGTTACATATGGTATAGTGGAGTTTCCTTTTCAAGCATAGGTTGGGGGTGTCTGTTGCTGTGATTATGTGGGATAGAATTAGAAGACAGATCTTGCTCTGTACATGCTTACAGTCTAGATGAAGAGACAACACAAACACGACAAATAAAACCCTAAACTAAGCACATGTTAAGACAGAATTAGCTGGTATATGTAAGCAGTAAGCTAATATTAATAATAACTCCACTTTTTATAGCGCTTTATAGCATTTCTCAAAGAGCAACAGTATAATTTTCTCACAACACTTCTGTGAGGTAGGGACTGCAAATATTATTCCTAATTTTACAGATGAGGAGATTGAGGTTCAGAGATACTAGATGACTTGTCCAATGTCAATTAGCTAGTTAGAACAAATCATCTTTCCACTATACCAAGAAAGTGGGGGTATGATCAGAGGGGAATGCAATTAATCAGAAGAGGTTTGGCTGTAAGATAGATGATAGATAGGTAAATAGATAGACATTTAAGGAGATAGGGATAGATAGATCATTTATTAAGTGTTTACTATATGCCAGAGAGTATAGAAGAAAACCCTGTCTGAGCTGAGAAATATAGGAACAGAGTCAGTCCCACTGTTGCCACTGCAGCTGCTACCCCACTCTTCACCACCACCACCATTCCCTCCTGCACCCCCATCTGTCTGTCCCCAACACTGCCACTCACTCCAGGCACAGAACATTCAGTCATGGATAAAAATGAGTCGGTGCAGAAGGCCAAACTGGCTAAGCAGATTGAGAGATATGATGCCATGGGAGCCTACATGAAGTCTGTAACTGAGCAAGGAGCTGAATGATCCAACGAGGAGAACAATCTTCTCTCTGTTGCTTACAATAATGTCATAGGGGCCCGAATATCATGTTGGAGGGTTGTTTCAAGTATTGCACAAAAGACGGAAAATGCTGAGAAAAAACAGCAGATGGCCAGAGAATACAGAGAGAAAGTCGAGACCAAACCAACTCTATCTGCAATGATGTACTGTCTCTATTGGAAAAGTTCTGCTTCACTAGCAGAAAGCAAAGTTAGAAAAAGTTTGAAAATGAAAGGATACTGCTACCATTATTTGGCTGAGGTTGTTGCTGGAGATGACAAGAAAGGAATAGTGGATTAATCACAACAAGCCTATCAAGAAGTATTTGAAATCAGCCAAAAGGAGAAGCAACCAATGCATCCTATAGGCCTGGGTCTGGCCTTGAGCTTCTCTGTGTTCTATTATGAGATCCTGAACTCTCCAGAGAAAGCCTGCTCCCTTGCAAAGACAACTTTCTATGAAAGGCATTGCTGAACTTGATACATTAAGGGAAGAATCAAAGACAGTACACTAATAACACAATTACTGAGAGACAATTTGACATTGTGGACATCAGATACCCAAGGAGATGAAGGTGAAGCAGGAGAAGGAAGGGAGATTAACCAGCCATCCATCTTTTGTCTGCCTCATTATAAAATTTACACACAGAAGACCATTTGTCATCCATGCTGTCCCACAAATAGTTTTTATTTACGATTTATGACAGGTTTATGTTACTTCTATTTGGATTTCTATATTTCCCATGTGTTTTTTATTTTTAATATTAGGGGAGTAGAGCCAGTTAACATTTGGGGAGTTATCTGTTTTCATCTGAGGTGGCCAATATGGGGATATGGAATTTTATACACATTTTATATGTTTGGTATAGTATTTTTGGTACACTGTGATTTCACAAGGCCAGTGTTAACACAGCTTCTACATCTAGGTAAAGAAAACTGCCTACATATGGGTCTCTCATGGTAGGGGGATATAGGAGTAATTGATTCCAGCCACAGGTGTAGTTATTGTGGTTACTTTAGGATTGGAGCATTCATGACTGTGGTAGAAACAGACATCCCATGGATATTAGATGTCATTCCATGTGTTATCTGTGGAATACACAAGCTCAACGTGTACACCTTTATGATTACAGTTGCAAAAGTATTCCTTACACAAAGTTTTAACCCGGTCAATTTACTCTGGAGAAGGGCAGAAACAGTTCACATTCCATTATTTGTAAAGTTACCTGCTGTTTACTTTCATTATTTTTGCTACATTCATTTTATTTGTATTTAAATGGTTGAGGTAATCTAAGCACAAATGTACAAGTAAAGATGCAGTAAAAATGAATTGCTAGGGGCAGCTAGGTGGCACAGTGGATAGAGCACCAGCCCTGGAGTCAGGAGGACCTGAGTTCAAATCTGACCTCGGACACTTGACACTTACTAGGTGTGTGACCCTGGGCAAGTCACTTAACCCCAATTGCATCGCCAAAAAAAAAAATGAATTGCTTGATATTCATAAAGTCACTATATATCAAATATAGCAGTAAAACAAAAAACCCATGTATTTAACTTTTTTTAGGCTTTTCGCTTTTGTGATTTTTTTGAGACTTGCCTAACATGCATATCCTGTAAAAATAGTTAATAGGGAAATGAGTTGATGGTTAGCTTTGTTTAATGTCTTATGAAATTTTCAGGAACAATCCAAGCATAACTGTTAAGAACATTTGTATTAAGTTGATGTAAGGGGAATAAAAGTTTTATGAATAGGAAAAAACAAAGGAAAAAAACCCTTTCTGATGAGACCCCATCCCATCCAAAATTTAAAAAAAAAACAACAAAACAAACAATCGTCCACTTGGACTCTACTTAAAAATAAACATTTGCAGATAGTAATCACAAACATACTAGAGGGGTTCCTTTTTCACTTCTCTCTTTCCTCTGCAGACAACTGCTAGGTGCAGCCTACAGAGGGGATATCAGGTGGGTGAGAGATAGGAATATGTGTGCAGACACTTCAATGGGATGACATTTTCAAATACAACACATTCCTGGACCAATGGACAAGTTGTCCAGAATCCCTAGATATCAAGCCACTTCCTATGTGGTCCAAACCTAGAGGTTGTGAATTTGGTTGTTTGTTTTTTAATACGTTGATAACTATTGCAATGTAATTGGTTTCCTTTGTGATCCTATGTATTTTATTTTATGGATTAAAAAATCATTCTGAGAAAGGGACCATAGGCTTCACCAGATTGCCAAAGCAGATCATGACACAAAAAGGGGTAAGAACTACTTCTTTAAAGGCTATTACATGACAGAAACTGTCCTCAAATGGTCACAGGATCACAAACTCAGAACTAGAAGTGACCTTAGAGGCCATCTATCCCTTTATTTTACAGATAAGAAAACTCAGGCCCAGAGAAATGAAGTGATTTGCCTAAGGTCACATACATAGGAAGTGTCAGAAGACTGGTGTGAACCTAGTCAGTTGGTCAATAAGCATTTATTAAGCTCCTACCACGTACCTGGCACTATGCTATCTTTTCCACTACACTCTCTCTCTAGTGAGAAGGAAAGTTGATAAGCTCAGATCATCAGAAATCCAGATCAAGGTTAAATCCCTATATGAGCAGTAAGACTGCACTTTATACCCCTGCTAGCCAGCTCACAAAAACGGCCCACCATAGTGCAGAGAGAGGGAGGGAAGGAAGGAAGAAGAGAGCAAGAGAAGGCATTTTTTGAACCAATCAGTATGATAGCCAGTAAACACTAATCTTACTTTCATTAACCCCAATTAGAACAGGGGATCTAGGACTGAGGAGGAGCTACTACAAAGCCTGGGACATAGGAAGTACCTAGTAAAAGTTTGTTGATTGCTTGATTGGTGATTGATTAAGAGAGGGTTTTCTCTTCTACATAGCTCTAGTGCACCTGGGCATAGCTGCTCCTGCTGGAGCCGAGAGGGTTAAAAACAGGCTAAAAGAACAAAGATCTTATTAAGAATCTGAGCAACACTGTAGAAAAGTGGTGTAACAGGGAGACTAGAAAATAGTAGTGCTCTTGTTTCTTACCTCCCAGTGATATGCAGAGAGAAGGTCACACTTTGCATCACTTTTGTCTCATTCAGTCCTAAGACTTGGATGCTTCTAATAGCATCTGAAACATAGAATTTAACAATTTATCACAAACAGGTGAGGTGAACTGAAAAAAAAAATTCTAATCTGATTCATTAGGATTCACCTTAGGGGGTATGGGAAGGGGGAAGAGGAGATTCATAGTCTGAAATTATACTGACATACAGTGGCCCTAAAAGATTTCTGGTTTGCACAGACTGTACAGACACAGGATAAAATTGGATGAAAGGCATAGTCAATGTTGGATAAGCCATAAAAAGACAGTCACACTAATGGACTGTTGATGGAGCTGGGAATTGGTATTACTATTCTGCAAACCAATTTGAAACTCTGAAAGTAACTAAATTGTGCATTTCCTTTGACTCAGTGGTACCACTACTGAGTACAAAACCCCAATGAAGTCAAAGATATAATAATAATAATTAATATGATATGACATAACAACATAACATTGTGATATAATATAATGGCTAGCATTTATATTGTACTTTAAGGTTTGAAAAACACTTTACAAATATCTCATTTTATCCTCCCAACAACCCTGGGAGGTAGGTATTATTATTATCTCTATTTTACAGATAAGGAAACAGTGCTAAAGAAGCTGGATTTGTAGAATTTTGTACATCAAAGCTATTCTTCCTTGTTTATCTCAACCTATGTTTTTGCATTTCATTGGTGCATTGACTCTTATAACAAATACGCTTTACTTTTTATTTCTTTTCTTTTTCTGTTTTTTTAGTGAGGCAATTGGGGTTAAATGACTTGCCCAGGGTCACACAGCTAATAAGTGTCAAGTGTTTGGTCTGAGGCTGGATTTGAACTCAGGTCCTCCTGACGTCAGTAAGAGCCGGGGCTCTTACTTTTTATTTCTAATTTGTTTTATTTATGCTTGGTTTCACTTTCTAGTTTTCCCAACCAAGTGAAGTGGAGTTAAATTGCCCAGCACTACAAGGGACTAATTGTTTATAGTAACAATACCTTCCTAGATGTTATTTCTGTGTTGTTGTTCATTCTTTGTTTTGGAAGAGGACCAATGACATCACTGGTGATATACTGACTTGTGAATGGATTGGATTTAAGTGGAGCAGAGTTGCTCAAAGTCATCAGGCTCATTCTCTCTCTTCCTGGGTCATTGAAGTCCAGTGGCTGGACAAAAGTCAAGATGATTGGTCATGGCCTGGGATGCAATGGATGACCTTGATGTCTTTGATGCCTGACCAAGCCTGTAAGCACTCCACAGCATCTACTTCAGCCCTCTTCATGGCCACTGGAACAAATTGTTCTCATCTGCACATTCCAGTGAGGAAGGTCTTCACATCTCCCTAATTCACTGCCAGGTTTGAGACCTGTTGGTTACCCTCAACCTGGTTTAGCTATCTGCCCAAAAGGTTTACCAGGGTGTGGCTGTTGCATATGCTACAGCTTCTTAAGCAGTTGAGAGTTGGATGAAGGGCCTGAAAAGGGCGTGGCAAGCCCTCACACTAGAGGTGCAACTCCTCCTGAATACCCCACGCACCCCTATTTCTGTGTACCTTTGTAATCAATATATCTTAGAAGCCAGAGTGAACCCCTGGAGTTTAATAAGTAGGGCAATAACATAGACCTGTGCTTTAAGAATTTCATTTTTGCAACTGTGTGGAGGACGGGCTGGAGATATCGGAGGCAGAGAATCCAATTAGGAGACTATATCAAGTCCAGGCAAGAGGTGCTAAGGTCCTGTACTAGGGTAGTGGGCCTACCCACTTGCAACCCACCCAATTTGTCTAAGGTCCCACAGTGAGTCCCAGCACAGCTGCGACTTAAACCTAGTGCTAATTTATAGGCCAAGGGTTTTCCACTAAAATAAGTTTAACTCAGTACCAAGATTGTTTGAGTGTCCTAGTCTTGTGTCTGCCAGTAATTCATTGCATAATACTATCTTCATGTTTGGGTGATGAGCTCTAGCTGACAAAAGTGATTCCATTTTTGTTCACTGATTGATCCCATGTTCCTGTGTACCCAACAACTGATTTGGCCAGCTACATTTAGGGATAGGAATGCAAGGTTAGCAGAGTATCAGTTTAGCAAATTTCATCTCAGTTAGCAAACTTTACTAATCACAGCATCCTTGTGAGGTGTTGCAGTCCAGTGCACCTTCTGACCGAGTGCCCCTAAGCTCCCCTTCCTCCTCAGTTCTTGTGATTCTGCCCAGCAATCACAATCAGACACAAGGGTAGGGACTTGGGAGATCTGGGCTCTCAATTGGAGTACTAGCCTGTTGTATGTCCAAACCACTGTCATCATTGTGTTCCTGTACCTCAGAAGGCTGAGGGAACCACACACATACTTAAATGCCTGTGAGTAATCAACTGCTTGACTCGTGATCCTTTGAGGGCTTAAGCTCCTTCTCCATATCTCTTCATCCACAAATCCCTCATAATCTTCAAGGAGTAGAAGCTAGGGGAGGGTGCTACAAAAGGGATTCATGCGTATGGTACACTAGATGGCCTCTAAGGGCTCTTGCAATTCAAATGATACTTAACACAGAGTTCAGCAGGCATTATCTCTCTAACAGCAGCCTTACATACCTTCAACTCACTTGGTTTGATTAGTACTGTTGTCAACTTACGTGAAAATAGCAATATCTGACATTCATATAGTTTTTTAAGGGTTGCAAAGTACTTTACATGGAGGAAGAGGAGACTGGGTCTCCTCACTCAGGCTGAAGGTACAGCAGCTGTTTAAACATTTTGAGTCATGCTCAACTCTTCATGATCCCTTTTGGGTTGTTTTTTTGTTTGTTTGTTTGTTTGTTTTGGCAAAGATAGTGGAGTGTTTTGACATTTCCTTCTCCAGCTCATTTTACAGATGAGAAAACTGAGGCAAACAGGGTTAAATGATTGGTCACACAGCTATAAGTGTCTGAAGCCAGATTTGAACTCAGGTCTTCTGACTCCTGATTCAGTGCTCTATCCACTGTACCACCTAGCTATCCCTTGCACCACCTAGCTGCCCACTCATGGGCCTAAATCTCCATACTGATCATCATGGAAGCTTTAACCTGTTCTTTTTATTTTCTGACATGGGCTAGTTTGTCCCTCCTTAGGCAGCCTGGTAGCTCACTGATCATCATTTTGGTGCCAGACCTACTACAGACTATTGGCTTTAGCCCTACTGCAGCTCAGAACTCTTGGACTCAAGTGATTCACAAGCTTTATCCTCCCCAGCATCAGGGATTATAGGAGTATACCACCAAGTCTGGCTCTCCATTGCCTTTTGGTAAAAAAAAAAAATTATTGATGTCTTTTTTTTTAATATTGTCATAGTTTTCCCCATAATCCCTCTTTTTCCCTCTCAAAGAACCGTCCCAAATAACAGAGAATTTTTAAGAGAGAGAGAGAGAGAGAAGAAAAAAATCAGCACAACTGATTAATTTATTGAAAACATGTGCAATGTGTAACATCTGTGGACTTCCCACCTCTGGTCAAGGTGAGTTGGGGGTGTCCTCTAATATCTCTTCATTTTTGAGTCTTGAGTTTTGTAAGTTTACAACATTCACTTTTTATTTTTATTTGTGTGTGTGTGTGTGTGTGTGTGTGTGTGTGTAGGTGTATAGTTCTTTCCATTTACATCATCATAGCAATTGTGTCTATTACTTTCTTGGCTCTATCTACTTCACTCTGTATCAATTCATACAGATCTTTCCATGCTTCTTCATATTCATCACATTTGTCATTTTTTACAGCACAGTGATATTCCATTATTTATATACCACAATTTGTTTAGTCATTCCCCAATCAATGGATACCTATTTTGTTTCCGATTCTTTGCTTTCACAAAAAGTACTGCTATAAATATTTTGGTGTCCCCATAGGACTTTTTTCTTATCAATGGCTTCCTTTGGGTATAAGCCACGCAATAGAATCTCTGGGTCAAAGGGTATGGACATTTTATATAGACTTTATTTGAAAAATTCCATATCATTTTCCAAAATAGTTGTACCAATGTATAGCTCCACCAACAAGCATCAATGTGCCTATCATCATCCAACCCTTCCATCACTAATTTGCCATTTTTGGTCCTCTTTGCCAACTTGCAGGATGTGAGATAAAACCTCAGACTTGACATTTCTTTTTTATTAGTGATTTGAAGCATTCTTTCATGTAGTTGTTAATACTTCACTATTTATTCTTTTTTTGAGAACTATTTGTTCATATTGTTTGACCAAGTGAATGCCTGGGATTAGGATTCTGGACTGTATATCAGATGCCTTAATTCATTAAATTCTTCCAAAGTGGAGGATCTCCAATTTGTTAAATAAGAGATCATGCCATGTGCGTGAATGTCGATGGTGGTTGTTTTATCTTTCCTTGATTTGTTTTCCAGGTCACTTGTCTTTGATAGGAGATACTTTACATTTTCTTCTATTCTTTTAATCCTTTGATTCTGTTCTAATACTTTTTATTGTTTCATGGAGTTATTGACTCTTGGTTGGCCCATTCTAATCTTTAGAGAGCCTGTTTCTTGGGTAAGTTTACTACCATCTTTTCTAAGATATTAATTTTCCTTTCAGGTCTTTCCTCCATAGCTTTTCTCCCATTTATAATCTCTTGCTTCTTTTCTTCTAGGCATTCTTGTAGTCCTTATAGCCAAGTCATTTTCTCCTATGAGGCTCTGTTATAATTGTGATTTTCTCTCTTCCTCTGGGTTTTTCTTTTGATCTATTTTTGAACCATAATATTTTCTTCTTTTTTTTTCTTTTTAAATTGTTATATTTATTTTATTTTATTTTATTTTTTGGTCACATTTTGAGTTCTGAGTTTTCTCCCTCCTTTCCTCACTTCCTCCCAACCCCACATTAGAGAAAGCCAATGTTTGATATAAACGTATATGTGGAATCATAGAAAACATACTTCCATATATCCATTCTTTCTCTGGAGGTGGATAGCATTTTCCTTCATAAGTCCTTTGTAGTTAATTTGAATGTTCACATTACTCAGAATAGCTTGGAAGTTCACAGTTACTCTTTAAATAACATTGCTG